TTTTAGTAGAGACGGGGTTTCACCATGTTGACCAGGATGGTCTCGATCTCTTGACCTTGTGATCCACCTGCCTCGGCCTCCCACAGTGCTGGGATTACAGGCTTGAGCCACTGCGCCTGGCGGGAAATTGTTAAATAAACACTTTGTAATGGAAATCTATGCAAGAGGTGGTGGCAGAGGGGAACATGTGGATCTGTTGGAAGACTGATGAGCCAGGAGAGGCTTTAAGATTATTTCAGGTGCGTGGGTTATATAGATGAGAGGACTGGAAGAAGGAGCAGTGTCTGCAAAGGGGCCATATGTTAATTTTGCAAAGCCGATGAGACAAATAAAGTAACACAGATAGGTTTCTGGTACAGAGGAGACGTTTATTCAAAAATCAGTTCCCTTTTTATAACTTGAAGAAAATCCAAGCCCCTCAGCCAGTTTAGAAGACCCTTCTTGACTCTGTCTCTTGTCAGGGAAGAAGTTTCTTATCTTGAAAACGGGATGATGGTAGCCACTTTGAGGGATTATTGTGAGGATCTGTAATATGTGAAGCACAGTGGTTTAAACATAGTAGATACCATTTATTTAGGACCTGTTATTAAAATATAATAAGGTTATAAGTGACCAAGAGCCCATTTGTGTTGAATCTCCTGTCTTATCAAAAACAAAAGTTGAAGCTATTTCTGGAAGACAATTCTAATTTTGGGGTTTTCAGAGAAAGGGATCCCAGGATCTCATTACCGTTTTAGCAACCCCCAAGTAAAAGGAAATTCTTATATTCCATTGTGGTGATTTTAAATATATCCACAAATTCTTTGATACTCTGACCTTCAAGTGGAGGAAGTTAATTCTTTTCTCCTTGAGTGTGGGCTGAACTTAGTGACTTGCTCCTGAAGAGTAGAATATGGTGGAAGTGACAGTGTGCGACTTCTCAGACTAGGTCATAAAAAGCATTGTAGTTGCCTTTTTGCTAGCTCTTTCTGGGATCGCTCACTCTGACTAAACCAGCAGCCATGTCATGGGGATGCTCAAGCTCCATATGCGGAGAGCTGTGTGGTGAGGAGCTGAGGCCCCCTGCAACAGCCACGTGTTGAACCACCTCGGAAACAGGTCCTCTCAGCCCCAGTAACGTCCTCATCCTCATGGGACACCGTAAGCCACTCAGAACTGTGTGAGATCATAAATGTTATTGTTTTAAAAATGCTAAAGTTTGGGCTAATTTGCTATATAGCAATAAATCATTAATACACCAGTCTAAATTCTCCATGCTGTGTATTAAATGCATTCTATAACCCACTTCTTAAACAGTGTCTTGGTCAGTAAAATTATTTAAACATTGCCTATGGTCATATAATGTCAGTATTAAGATATTCCTCAGCTATGTCTTCTCTGTGTAAGGTAATTCTTTTTTCTCACATTTGTTTTATACTTTTTGTTTAATGCAGATATCGGTGTATTTCGTATTTGCTTACCAAGTTGTCTTGCTGTGAGTCTTTGCAAGTCATGTTACATTCTTTCTGAATAAGTAAGAAATATATTTAAAATTCTATTTTAGTTGCTCTTTTATCTTTTTGTTTGTTTTGTTTTCAGACAAGGCCTCACTTTGTTGCCTCAGCTGGAGTACATTTTTCTAGAGAAGGGGTCTCACTATGTTGTACAGGCTGGTCTCGAACTCCTGGCCTCAAGTGATCCTCCTGCCTCAGCCTCCCAAGTGTTGGGATTACAGGCATGAGCCACCGTGCCTGGCTAGTTGCTTTTATGATGCATCTCTGAGGGCTATGCAGACCCCACAGAGTGTAGAGTGAGGCGAGATCGATTGTCATACTCCATCTGTGCTGTTCATTAAGTAGCCACTAGCTACATGTAGCTACTTAATTAATTGAAAATAAGTAAAATTAATGTTTCAGTTCCTTAATTGCATTAGCCATATTTTTTAATTTTTAATTTTATTATTATATATTTAGAGACTGTCTCATTCTGTTGCCCAAGCTGGAGTTCAGTGGCACGATCGTAGTTCACTGCAGCCTCGACTTCTGGGCTCAAGCAATCCTCCTGCCTCAGCTTCCCCAGTAGCTGGGACTACAGGTGCACATACCATGCCCCGCTAATTTTTTTGTTTATTTTCTGTAGAGATGGGGGTCTCGCCGTGTTGCCCAGGCTGGCATTAGCCATATTTTAAGAGCTCAGTGGCCACATGAAATTGTGACAGCACAGGTATAGAATATTTCCATCATCACAGAAAGTTCTGAAGATAGTGCTGTTCTGTAATTTATTGTTTTCTATAGGGGAGATTGTGTTCTGACTTGAGTATTCTTGAAATAGTGGAACATTTGGTTACGTTTCTATAAATTCATCTCTTGAACTAATACCTCATAGCTCTTCCACCTGATAAGCTTCCTGAATAAAGTGGGCACATCGCATTCACTGTATGCCTGGCATCTAGCATAGAGCTGATAGTGGCAGATGCTTAACAGTTTCTTGTGGAGTTGCTGCTATTTCTATAACTTATTACTCATTGTGCTTGCTTGGTCTGTTACTTACTCACTTAGACAGTAATTTCTTTTTCAGCTTCTATCAGTATAGCTCATTTTTTCTCCTTTAATCTGTTAGACAAAATGAGGTTTTTGTTGGTGTTTAATTTAAAAATTAGAAAAAATAAATTCAGGCCAAAAGGTCTTAAAGAAAAAAAAAAAAAGAAAATGAAAAGCCAAGTCCTGGACTTAGAGAAGTATTTACAATATGTATGACAAAGCAGTTGTTTCAGAATATATAAAGTTCTCTTATAACTTAATAAGAAAGACTCCTATCACTCAATTTAAAAATTGGGCAAAAAAGTCTGTGCTTTACAAGAAAGAACAATGAAGGCCAATAAGCATATGATAAAGTGCTCCAAATCATTAGTCATTAGGGAAATGCAGTTAAAACCACAGTGAGAGACTACTGCATACCATTTAGGATGACTGTTATCAAACAAACGGAGAAGAACAAGTGTCGTTGAGGATATGGAGATAGGGAATCCGCGCGTGTTGCTGGTGGACATGTAAAATGGTGCTGCCGCTATGGAAAATAATTTGGTGGGTCCTCAAAAAGCTAAACATGGAATATGGCCAAGCAGTTTTACTCTTAGGTATATGGCCTAAGAAAATGAAAAAGGGCAGATACGTGATTCTGTTTTTATGAAATACCTAGAACAGACAAACTTGTAGAGACAAAGTGGATTAGCGGTTACTAGGATTTGGAGACGGGGGAAATGGGGAGTTACTGCTTCATGTTTACGGAGTTTTTATTTGGGTGTTAAAAACTTTGGAAATGGAGGTGATAGTTGTACAACATTGTGAATATAATTAAAGCCACTGAACTGTAGACTTGTAATGGACAAAATGGCAAATTTTATGTTATATATGTATTTTACTGCAGTTAAAAAAATTAATAATGTAGCAAAATCCATTTAATTGTACACTTTAAATGGGTGACCTGTGTGCCATGTGAACTCTTATCTCAATAGTGCTGTTACAAGCAAAACCATAATAAGCTACCTCTGCACGCCTGTTAGAATAGCTACGATGAAAATGACTGACCACTGAATTTTGGTGGGCCTGTGAAGCTATATATTTACAATTAAAAAAGTCACATTGCTTGGAGTGGAGGGGAGGTGTTTA